TCAGACCTCAGAGAAGAGGGAGCAGAGCTGCTCGGCTCACTGCCTTGTAGGAATGGAGCTCATAGGAGGTCAGAATTTCGTTTGAATGTTCCCAGTGCTTAAGGAAGCTGCCATGTTTTAAAAAATATTTCTAAGCGAAAACTTAATAAATACAGTTGTGCAGACTTTTTCATAGTCTTTTCTAAGGAGAACCGAAGCTGTCTTAGCTGGGCAGGTGTTGCTACCCCACCGAGGATCATCACCCACCGAGCCCTCTCTCCTGGGGTGCGCCAGGGTATTGCCCTCCGCTACTATGCAGATCTTTCTAGTCAGGGTCACTGGTGGCTCAGTTGTGTTTTGGCGCAGCAGCACAGGAGTGGACTCGCTCTTTGCGGCAAGGCACCGCAGGAAATGCACGTCTAAGAAAATGCCCCTTGTTCCCCATACACCCTGGGAACCTGCATCCACACCCGGGGCTGCCCGCGTCGGCCTCGCAGCAGCCGAGACCCACCTACATCCAACACGTGCTCAAGCCAGCCGGCCGCTGCCCCATTCTATCCCACGCACCACTGGGGTGGCGCGAAGGCGCGGGGTGGCTCTCCGTCTCTGGGGCGGTGCCCTTTGGCTTTCGTGGGGCTGACTACTAGCCGCGCAGCCAGTGGTGGGCTTTGCTTCTCACCGAGGTGGCGCGCTGGGCCTTACCCGGGAAAGCCGGACCGGATAGGATCTCGGCTCAAGGAAGGGTCTGGCCCGAGCCAGGGCTACGAAGCTAACCCTCGGGTCCCGTCTTCGCACTCCAAAGAAAGCGCTCCCTTCCCGGTGACTGGGTGCTCCGAAAGCAGGTGACTGGAAGGGTGCTCGTTGCGTTCTGCAAAAGATGCTGAAGGAGGGACGTGTGGACAGGGAGGGCGCCATTGGAGCCAACACGCCCTCCACGCCCCCTCCCGGTTCCGAGAGAAGAACTACTAGCTAGATTTAACTGGACTCGCGCACCTGAAACTGACACCGGGTGATCTCTGCACGGAGTTGGGCTCGGGTAATTAGACGGTTGCAGACTGCGTGCCAGGGTATTCGTTCCGCCCCCGTAACAATCTAGAGGTTTCCCGCACCAACCGCAAGCCTCCTGACGTTCCTATTCCCGCTCTTAGGCACTGCTCACCGAGGGATCCATCCCAGCTGGGCTCCAAATGGGGATAAATGGGGGAGCGGAGGAGATAAGAAGAGCGGATAGGAAAACCTTTCTAAATGCAAGAAACCTCTTCCCACCACCTGCCGCCACTGTTTGACGCCTTGGGTGTGCAGATCTCAGCCTACCCCAGCGAACTCCCTGCGTTGGGGATGGGAAATAGTGTCTTTCCCCGACCTGCGGGAGTCAAAGTCACTCTAAGCAGCGTAGCGAGTCCGAAAATCCGTCTTAGAAAAACATTCCAGGAGAGGAGTAGCTTAGGATCCAACGTAAGGGGCCCTCACAAAGACCCCAAGGTTAGGAATCGAACGACATGTAGGCCCTGAGAAAAGGCCCAGGCCCTGTCCCCAAAGGCCCTACAGTACACGCGACTCTTGCTTGGTGGTAAAGGGGCCCAGGAGAGATGAAAAGAACAGAGGCAGGCACGGATCACGCTTCTTAGCACTCGCTCCTGGAAGCGGGTTCTGGAGGCGATAGCCCCGGGCGCCCGCTCCTCATAATGAACCGTCCTTGCCTCCAGGGGGCGCTGCGGCTCTTCCCGCCGGCCGCTGAGCTCCAGCCAGCTGCTGCGCTTTCCTTTCCCAGCCGGGTTTAGAGCGCTAGCTGGAAAGCGCATTTTAAATAGATACATTCCCTTAGCTTTTGACTCTTGCTTCCACACCTTCAGTCTGAATCCAGTGCCCGCGACCTGTATTTTGGCAAGCCACCTCCTTTCTCTGGAGCTGGAGTGTGCGCGCCCAGCTGGGCTCCGATCTTTTCCTTCCAGCGAAAATGAGCAAACAGTGCGGAAAGTTCAAATGCAAAAGGTTCCCGCCCCGCAGAGACAGGGAAAGCGGGTGAGAAGGAAGCGAGTCCTCGGAGATAATGGCAGGGAGGTCTCTGGAAAGTGATGGGGTTTCCATAATTTGCATTTTAAAGGGTTAGAGTTTTGAGGAAGTCAGCACCGGGCGGTCAGAGGGGAGAAAAGGCTCTGAGTCAACTCCATAAAAGTCTGAGTCCGACACCTGCTCTCTGTTCAACTGGCAGGGCCTTCTGGGTGGGCCAGAGGCAAGGGGTCTCTGCTGCGGGTCCCAACCTCGTTCGGTTCCTCGCGCTTTCTCTCCCAAGCCTCCGTCCCTTTGTCCAGGAGCGTAAACTTTCGGCGGTTCGGGTGTAAGCAGCAACTCTTGCTCACTCGTCGTCAGTCTGCTAGCCATTTCCCTGGAAACGTCCTTGGTGTCGAAAGCCCAGAACCGTGAGGACAGCATTTGACCGAGTCGGCGGAAATGTCAGAGCGAGCCCGCAGCGGAGCTTCTGGAGAGTGCGAGGGGAGTGGAACTTTTGCAGACGCTCAGCCCTCGGGAGCAGCCGGGCTGCGGTAGGCGCCGGGATTGTCTTCTTCACACCCCAGGACCCCACAACTCGCCGTGGGCTGAGTGGCCTGTCCTCTGTGCGGGCGTTTTCGCCTGGGGATCCCGGCCAACGAGGCTGCTCCTGTGTGGGTCCCCACAATGCTGCGCTCTAGTCGCGGACCTGGGCATGGGGCTTGCCCCAGGCTGAGCGTGGAGAAACTCAAGGGCCCGCCCCGAGTGGACGCGGAGGTGGTCCTGGGAGCCACGCTGACAGTGCTGAGCCTTGTTCAGTCTCGGCCTTCCTTTCGACGTAGGATGAGCACCTGCAGGTTGTGGCTCCAGGGCCTGGAGGCTGCCGAGGCGCTGCCCAGCCTCGTGGCTTCCCCCCAAAGCCCGCAACTCCCGGACTTTCCCCTAAAGTTCAAGCTACTGCAGCGCTCCGGGGAGCATGGCCCAGACTCCTCCACTGTGGAACTTCAGAGACTAGGGTGGGCGAGGTAAACATGTTTATGGAAAAACTTGGGTTCAGGAGATTTGAGGAAAGAGGGCGCAGCTCTTGGGTGGTTGGAAATTCTGTCTACCCCGCGGGAAAAGCAAAGGTTCCTCACACAGCGCACACACTTGCACAGGATGGGAAGGTGTGAAGCCCGCCGCTGGGTAGCTGCCTTCACTTTTGTGAAAAGGAAATAGGAAGCGCAGGAACACCCTACAGGTCACCACCCCGGGAGTGTGTGTCCTGGGGGTCTGAAAGAAGAGAAAGTTCTTCCAAATCTTCCAAATTGAGAAAAGCTGGGGAAGGAATGAGGCGGTTAGGGAGAGGGGACCACAGGCATCCCCATCGCGGGGGCTCAGGACTGAGCGCTAAAATGAAAGCACCCCTATAGAATACACTAGGGAAAACTTGTTTTTAAACCCTAAATTCTTAGGCATTCTGCTACTTCCACGCTGTTTGTCAGATCTACTTTGAAGCAGTTAAGTACTGATGGGTATTATACATTCAGGTCTAGTTCCAAGCTCACGTTTTAATCTTTGTGAATTTGAATTTGGAAAGAAAAAAACGGGGGGAGGGGGGAGATTCATTACTGAATTATGTTTTGCCAAAGGAACGAAAAATTCTATCTATCTCGACATAAAGTAGAAGGAATCTAACCTTAATAAAATATCTCATGGCTTATATGTGGCTCTCCAAACACATTTGTTAACCTTTTGACAATTTTTAGTCTTCTGCTTGTATTTGCCCACTTCCCTACATGATTGAGATTATTTCTATTATTCTTTGGGGTAGCACACCCGAAGCCATTTTTCGTGGAATACTTATAAATTTGTACAGACTTTTGCCTGGAAACGCTTAGCCCCTCAAATCCTGGACTCCTGAGGCTAAAAGCAAATTTCCTCTGGCCACTTGTCAGGAACAAAGGGCATTTTGCTCAATATTGCTCGGGTAGCTCCCGCTGAAAGGGAGCAGTACTGTTTAAAGCGGGTGGGTGACATTCTCTTTCTATCATTTGGTTCACCCTACTTCCAGAGTGGCTGAAGTGCTTTATGTAGCTACAACCACACAGGACTAAACCTTTAGGAGAACCGGAAAGATATATCACTGTACTTCAAATTCTATTAAGTTTTTTGATCACTGAACAATGAAATCTATTTTTGCTGGGAATGAAGATGTACACGTTTTGAGAAGCTAGAACAGTGTTTTCCTAATTTTCTAAATGGCTGTTCTTCACCCATTCCAGATGGATTCCGTATTTAACAATGGGTTGCAGATGCCCACCCCTTTAACCAAGTTGGTTAACTGCTTATGAAATGTACATTGGCTGATTAAAGCTTAAATATTGGAAGAAATTTCTCCTGGGGCATTCCACATATGTCTTTGCAGTAATTACGAAATTAGTCAATTGTCACCTCTATAAACAAACATCGTTTTGAAAACAGCTGGAGAAAGCAAAGTACACATATAGTCATAATTGACCAAAAGTATGTACAAGACTGTATTTTAAAATTGGGACAAGGTTGATATATATTGGAGATTACAATCTAGAACTGATTGAATTTACCCTATGAAGAAGACTGTTATGTTAAACATGTTAAGATGTGAAAATTAAATCGGCGAGCGTGCCAAGTAAAATTACAAAATGCCCTTTTGGGTTTCTCTGCGGGGGGTGGGGGGCTTGGAAGCAAAGAAGCAGTTGTTCAGTTCCTAACATTTTAAGGAAAAGTGCCATCGAGAATAAGGGGGTGGGCGTTGTGTGTGTTTTTAACTGAGATACCTTCGGCTCCGCTCTGTCTCAGTAACAGAGCAAACCTCGAGCAAACCTCGAGCAAACCTGTGCCTTTAAGACTCAGTTGCTATCCAAACACAAGTAAACAGAGTGGACCATTAGCGGGCGCTGGGCGCGGAGGCGGAGCCTGGACACGGAGGGCCCCGCACTGCTGCAGGACGCCCGCCCGAAGGGGAGGCGGGGCTGCTACTAAAGCCTAGGACTCCCGGCCGCGAGCTGCCTAGGGACGCGGGCGGGGACGGAGCTCGCGCGCTCGCTGCTGGAGTGTGATGGCCCTGCGAGGCTGCAGCCTTCGACTTTACCCGGAGCTGACGGCGAGAGACTCGCGGAGGCACAGGGTCCCAGGCGAGCTCTGAGAGTCTGCTCCAAGGACCCCGAGACGCGTTCTGCGTTCACAGGCTCGGATCCACTCTCAGATTTGCTGCTCGTGGTCTTCCGGATCATGTCCGCGGCTCCCGGGTCTCCGCGCGGTAAAAGAAGTTTGCCCAGCGCGGACCCAAAGACCTTTCCAAACTACGCGTCTCACTGCCTGGACTGGATCTGAACGCCGCTGCCTAGACTGGTCATTCCGCGGGAGGTGAGTGTCCACTTTGGGAAGGGGTTGCAGCCACCCTAAGGAAAGAAGGGTGCAGGGGGCACTCAGATTCTTGGTCCAGCTAGCCACAGGTTGAGAAACTGTGAAAAGAAATCGCATGGACGCAAGCCCAGGGCATTGTATTTTTCACCTTATCGGATCCCAAGCGCTCCACTCTCAGCTAACACCCAACGAGTCAAACTTTCATGTACTGCTTTTAGTTTTGTTTTGCGTCATTTTAACTAAGCATTCAGCAAAATTTCTTATAAAAACGGATCGACGTACTTTGAGATTAAACAAACAAACAAAAAAATTCCAAGCCCATAGTGTTTCTCGCTCTGCCACAGAATTTCTGGTTCACCCGTCCGGGGGCAACCGCGGCATCGTAGCGTGGACGCGCCGGGACACACAGAGACTGCTTAGCCAGCGCGTTTCAGGAGGGAAAAAAGTAGTTCAATCCTAGGTAATTCTCTAATCTGGAACTGGGATCTGATTTTCCTCCCATCCTCCAGCCCCGGAGAAGGGGGCTAGATGGCAGGTTTCTCCCGGGGCTTAACCTCTTGGGTTCTGGAGAAATAATAGCAAAGGAGAAAGGAGTCGCGGTTGTAGGAAGGAGGGAGAAAAAGGTGTTTGTGAAACGAGCGCTAGATCCGTCTCTCTACCTGTTAGCAGAGAACAAAAGAGGGCTGGCGTTTCCCAGAGCGCAAGGGCGCAGACAGCTACTTTCTCTACTAAACAAACTGCAGTCCTGAGTAGAACAAGAAAATTACTCACGCAGGGGGAGCGAGGGAGCAGAGAGAAACAGAACCCAGATTATGCGGAAGGCATCTTAATTTAATTAACTCCTAGGGAAGGCAGAGGCGCTGCGAGGGGCAGGAACTTCGCGGCCGTTTTTTCTCTGTTACTCGCTCCATTCTAGCCTTTTACAAAAACTAAAATAATTAATTATCTCCTGAGATTCACTAGGATGATAGCTCCCTGATGCATATAAAATTCTATTTTGACTTGGGCTGAAATTCAGCTAGGCTATCAATCCATCAGTCTTTTCTCGCAGACACCAACGGACAGGTTTTAGCAGATGACCCCTGACTGTATATTGTTTTTAGATAATTCAGTGTAATAACACCATTACCAAAGACTGAGAATCCTTATCGAATTACCACGTACCTTTTTTTCCTCCATGTTTTGAAGCTTCACTGACCTGAAATTAGTTATGTACACATCTCCTTTGTTGACAGCCAGTGAACTAAATTTTACAAAACTTATGTACATGCTTGGAAATTCCTGTGAAGAAGACTGATAAAAGGAAACTAGTCTCAGCTCCACTGGAATATTTGTGTCTATTCATTGGTTTAAGTTTTTTTCCCTGCAAAATTAAAAGTAACCAATGGTCCAGAACAGGATGGTGCAGAAATGACAGCAGACAATGATCACTATTTCTGCCTGAAACTGAGAACTATATGCTCAGCTCAAGACAAAACGAAAGTACTTTAGATCTCTGCATTGACTTAAAATATCTTAGGACATATATTTCCAGCAACTCAGTGGGAGAATAGAAATATATGCTCCCAAATTACTCATGACAAAATTGTTTGGTGGTTATTTAGGATTGTTCAGTTTGTAAAGGGTCTTAAAAGGCACCAGTGGCTTGTTCTTCCTTTATGAAGAAATTATCTGTCCTGTAAATTAAAGCAAACACATACTATGAAACAGCACTTCTGTCACTGCATGAAGCTGAATTACAATCATTGTTGATTTCTATAAATTGTTTGGAGAAAAGGGAAGGAAAAACTGTCTGCTGACAGAATTAATGTGTAATTTTATGGCAGAATTTATGTTCTGCATTTTGGAATTGAAATTTCAGGTCTTGGTAGTTCTACAATCTACAGTATTCCCACTGACACACACAACCACACACACACACACACACACACACACACCCCTACATACAAATACAAAAAATATATATAGTGAGCTACACTTTGACTTTTATATTTAGTTCTAAGAAATCTAGCCCGGAAATTTGCCCAAATAATAATTTCAGTTTCCTCCCTATGGGGGAGACCACTTTTTAACACCATAAAATATTTTGAAACTCTGGGAAATCCTCCTTCGAAAGGAAGGAAATAAAGGTGTACATTTATTATTTTTAATGGAAAAGGAACTAATCAGATAGATTGCCAGGAGTGGTTAGACAGATTCTTTTTTCCTTACCTCTCTAGGAGAGTGTTCGCTGCAGAATCCGAGGTGATTTGTGGTGGGAAAGTTTGTTACTAATGGAGGCTTACAGTTTCGGTTGAATGGTCTGACTGAGACCCTCTGACTGTTACACACCTCTCATTAACTCCAGGCCTGAACTCCCAGATCACATACCACTAGGCAGAAGCTGTTCATTAATAAATCCCTGTCTCTGAACTTTGCAGGGAGGGAAGGTGTGGGCCTCACCCAGAGTTTGGATTCTGCCTAGCCAGAGCTCAGTATCATTAGCGTAGCCCCCATTAACTGCCCTCAGAACCACAGACATCACAGTGCTCTAGAGAAGAAAACTCAAGTACAGAAAAGGGATGGGTGGGGAGGGAAGGATGACCATACTTGCCCATTTTCCTGCTAGGTTCGAAAGCCGAGGATAATTTGCTGGCTTAGACCGGCCTTTCCCGGAAAGCGCTTAGCTGCGAGTTAGGTACCTGAGCTGTGTGAGTGGTCCTTAGAGGCTAGGGCCAGGCCCCCCAAGCTAGCAAAACTCGCTGCTAAGAAAGTGAACTGGCAGTGAGAGAAAGTAGGCTCTCCCCGAATGCAGGTGAGGAGCGAGAAGTATCTGGAATGAAAGCAACTCAGAGTTGCCATTGGGGTGGGGGTTCAGAAAGAAGGGAGTGCATGTTTCCTGTTTTAGGCCCAGGCCGCATACCCGGGGACAACCGCACAGGTCTCCAGGCGAATTAACCAGTTCCCTCCAGACGGGTCTGGCCTCTATGAAAGTGGACCTCTGTGGCTCCCCCACCGCTCCTCTTTCCCTCTTCTTCGAGCCTGATCTCCTTTTCTTTCCTCTCCCTTCTATCCGGGCCTCCTGGGCGTTGGGGCCGCTCCCGATGCCAGGCAGAGAAGCCGCTCGGGCCTCCAGTGAGCTTGGCGCTCAGTCTCCAAGAAGGGGGTTCAGCCTCAGGGACTTCTCCGCCCACCCCACCCCCCGGAGAGCCTGAACCATCTGGAAGGGATCTTGGTGAGGGGGGTGGGTGGGAGGGGACGGCCCCTGGGATGGAGGAGGGGGCGACTCCTGGCCGAACCCAGCCCTCGAGGTGTCACTTTTCTTTCCTGCGGCCCGTCACCGCTGATAAATGGGACTGAGGCTGAGGAAGGAAAAAGAAAACCTCCGAGGTCAGCGCAGGGCGAGGCGGGCCCCTGTGAGGGCCCTCCGGCCCAGGAGCACCTAGCCCGCCGCGGCTGCGCTCCCGCACCCTGGACACCACGGAGTAAGCGCGGGAAAGGCGGCCGCGGGGGGCGGGGGTGAGATGCAGTCTCCCGCAGCAGCGCGAGAAGACGCAACACTGGGGCTGAGTCGGACCCTCGAGCCCGAGGTCGGACCCACAACTGTCGTTCCCCGGGGAACTCGGAAGCTGCGCGGCTATCGAGGCTCAGTCTCCGACCTGCGGACGTTGGCGTCGCGGGCCATCGCGGTTGACCGATCTTCGCTAGACAGGGTGCGGTGGGTGGCTGGACTCGGTTGGCCTCTGTGAAGCCCCTCTACTCACCTTTCTTTCTCCGCGGGCACGGCTCTTCCGCTCGGTGCGTGCCCGGAATCCGACCTTCCTGTGGGCGCCCAGAAGGGCCGCGGGGGCGCCCTGCTCGCCGGGAGGCCACTTCCTGCCTCGCTTGACACCCAGGCCGCCGGGCCGAGGTCCTGCGGACTCACTGGGCAGGCGCCAAGCGGTTCCCTTGCTGCTCCTTTTGGGGACCATGAAGTGAGATGGGAAGAGAGATTTAGAAAGAAGGTGTGGTAACCCGCGCGGACGCCAAAGGGCCAACCGAGCGTCTTGGACGATAATCCTGACTTTCCCCCTCTCTCCCTGCCACTTTTAGGGGTTTCTCTTCGTACTGTTGTCTTTGTTTCCGGCGGAGCCCCACGCCCACCCACCTCTGAGTCCTGGAAGAAAGGGGCGGCTCCCTCCGCCCCCCAGCATCCAAGAAAATGGGGAGCAAGGCCCTGCCTGCACCCATCCCGCTCCACCCGTCGCTGCAGCTCACCAATTACTCCTTCCTGCAGGCGGTGAACACCTTCCCCGCTGCGGTGGACCACCTGCAGGGCCTGTATGGCCTCAGCGCCGTGCAGACCATGCACATGAACCACTGGACACTGGGGTACCCCAACGTGCACGAGATCACCCGCTCCACCATCACGGAGATGGCGGCAGCACAGGGACTCGTGGATGCGCGCTTCCCTTTCCCGGCTCTGCCCTTTACCACCCACCTCTTCCACCCCAAGCAGGGAGCCATCGCTCATGTCCTCCCAGCCTTGCACAAGGATCGGCCCCGTTTTGACTTTGCCAACTTGGCCGTCGCTGCCACACAAGAGGACCCCCCTAAAATGGGAGACCTGACCAAGCTGAGCCCAGGGCTCAGTAGCCCCATTTCTGGCCTCAGTAAATTGACTCCTGACAGAAAGCCCTCCCGAGGGAGGTTGCCCTCCAAAACGAAAAAAGAATTTATCTGCAAGTTTTGCGGCAGACACTTTACCAAATCCTATAACTTGCTCATCCATGAGAGAACCCACACAGATGAGAGGCCATACACATGTGACATCTGCCACAAGGCATTCCGGAGACAAGATCATCTGCGGGATCACAGGTGAGGTGGGGAAAGAGGTTGACAGGGGAGGGAAGGACAATTTGTCCAGGATACTTAGTCTGATAGACACCCATGTATCACTAAACTATCCTCTGAACTTTTAGCTATCCCAAAAGCCAGCTACAAGTAGCTGCCAACACCTGTAGTAGGCATCATGTGAAAGACATCAGTAGGCCCCTGATGTCTTTCACCAGCATTAGACAATTAAAATCTGTGGGTGGGCCTTGATCCTAGTATCAGTTTCATCCCAGTCTGGTCTAAGGGGTGGTGTGAATGGGGGAGCAAATACAACCTAGGAACCCTGAAGTCCTTCCCACTGTGGGTACCATTCTTGGCTGTCTTGTGATCTTTTCTGGGACTCTATTTAGGTCATCTCTCCTGGGTTCTCTCCCCTCCTTACCGCCTACTGCCCCTTAGGTGGATCCCAGAGCCTGCCAAGGTGACCTTTCTTTAAAACTAATTTGGAAAAGAAGGGAGGGATTGAGATCACTGAATTTAAAAACAGCTCCCACCTCCTCTCTGCAACCTTAAACCTGAATTAATAAATGACAGTTGAAGAAATATAATAACTTAAGCGATTTCATCCGGTAAAACTTCCCCGCAGTGAGTGAGGGTGGCATTATCTTCTCTGAAACTGTACTTGCTATTCCCCACCCAACGTGGAACTTCTGTGTGATCTTCCCTGGTAATTAAGGGATTCGCTAAAATCAGTCTCGCTAATTTGGGCCTTCCCTTACATCCTGATTTGACTGGTTTAAGTCCCAAAGAAAACCATAGAGGCCAAGAAAGGCTCAATCGGCTCCATTTCCAAGCTCCAGAATATGCCAGAGAGGGCGATCAAGTGTAGATAAAGCCGGCACCCAATGAATGTTTTGAAGAGTCTGTTAGTTGAGGTTAACCATAAACAGAATTATACGGGGGGGAAATACTATCTAAAAACATAAGTGGGAATCCTGTTTCTTTTGTCCTCCCACAACTTCATTTTGAGTAATTGTCAAAAGAAGCTCCTGACAAGAATGCTAAAACCATTTCAATGAAACCTTATATTGATTTTCAGGTATATCCATTCCAAAGAAAAACCCTTCAAATGTCAGGAGTGTGGGAAAGGATTTTGTCAGTCTCGAACTCTTGCAGTTCACAAAACTTTACACATGCAGGTAAGTTTGTTTTCTTGCTTAGAAACAGTGACTGGTTCTGTTTTTATCATTTTTGCTCTACAAAAGGTGTTCCCTGGCAACATCTTTCTCTTAAAAGGCTCTATTTAGGTTAGATTTCTAGGTGGGGTAAGCAGCTCTTTTTTTTCCCCTTACATAAAATTAATCTTACTTAACATAAACATATATATTTTTCTTAAAGAATGGGCCACTGTCTTTATTCTAAATTCTAATTTTAGGATTTTTTTCCCCATCCGATCTGCCCTGCACTTAAAGCTTTCGTGTTTAGGAGGAAATAAAGGTAATTTTGATAATGGAGGCATGATGAAATCCCATACTCGCTCTCTCCCAGGGGGCTCATAATTTGTAGTTTTCAGAACATTGAGGAATAGTTTAATTTTCCAGCAAAGAGGAGCTTTATAACCCCGGGAGACTGTCATTCCTTAAGAGAGGATTAGAGTTTTTCCTTCCCCTTTTTCCTGCCTATGACATGGTGATGAAATGTAAAGAGCTGGAAATCACAAAGCCCACCTTGGTGGCCACCAACTGTTATCAGTGTAATCGGGCCTCTTCGAGTGCTTGCTTGTGTGTTTTCGTGATTGGAGGATTAGGAGTACAGATTTGTTCCTGCAAGTTCCCTCTTTTGTTGTCGTGTGGGTGTTATGTTAACGCTTGTGATACCGATAAGTCAGAAACTATTGAGAAAGGTGCAGTGGTAGTGTGAAGGATTAATCCTTTGCTTGCTTCACATCTGAACAGGAATCTCCACACAAATGTCCCACATGTGGAAGAACCTTTAATCAGAGAAGTAATCTGAAAACTCACCTTCTCACCCATACAGACATCAAGCCCTACAGCTGCGAGCAGTGCGGCAAAGTGTTCAGGCGAAACTGTGATCTGCGGCGGCACAGCCTGACTCACACCCCGCGGCAGGACTTCTAGAGAAGCCCAGGATCTGTCCCCTGCCGCCGCCGCTGCTCCCCTCCCCAGACACTTCTCCACCGCTCCCAAAAGGGGGTCACTCCCCTTCACAGACCCCAGCTCTCCCTTGCTGCAGCCATACCTGCAGCTCCAGGGAGTTAATTCTTCTTGAGGACTGAGAACTGTAGAAAGCCACACACATACACACACACACACACACACACACACACACACACACACACACACACACACATCCCTTCACCAAGAGCATATGCTAGTTTCTTGTAGATATCCACAGCTCATTTTAGAGCTTTGTACATAATGTCATGGGTCTTTTTTTGTGTGTGTGTGTTTGTTTGTTTTTGTAACTTGTTGGATGTACCTAGATATGGAAAATGGAAGTCAAATTTATCTTTAAAGACTGTATTTTCAAAATAAAACTTTTTCTTGTTTGTTTCAACACTCTGGCACAAGTGTCTTGCTATTTTTTCCTCTGGATTGTGGGAGATTGGGTTGCCTCTCAGACATTCAATATTGAAGGGCATTCTTAATCTCTAGGTTTTTTAGGTAAGACTTCACAACTCTCTCACTGAAACTTCAGCTCCTGTGGAATTTTGGAGTTGGACAACATGTGGAGTATTTTTGTTTTTCAAAGTTACTAAAATTTGATAACCCTGAGGTTTTATCTTTTTTTATTCTAATTCCCCTATTATTCCATCAGATAAAAGCAATACAAATAATCATTAATAGCATCCAACTCCAGTGTAGTCATTTCCTACTGGAAAGCACAAAGTGGGAGGAACAATAAGGAAAAAGAAGAGAAGGCACTTCTTACCTCTTCATTTTTTTAAAGTCCTTGACCTATTGTCAAAGTTTATGATGGGCAACTTCTCTTACCATTGGACTTTGAACACTATGATTTCGCACTACAGAGACTTTACCTTGCCATAAGGAAGCAGGTAAAATCCTCCTATAATAGCATGCAAGGAAGTACAACCTTCAGAAAGATGGGGGACAGGAGGAGAAAAGAGAAACTACTTAGCTATGTTTGCACAAAATATTTTTTTCAAGGCTGGAGATCCTTTCCTCTAGAAGGCTTGGATTTCTCTGCAAAGCAAACTGAATTAGATCACTAGCAGGTTTCCATCATTGGCTGGCCTTTTGCCCCTGGGAAAATGCCAAAAGTACAGGTCACTCTGTGTAGAGAGCTCTTGGAAAATGTGCAACCACCTTTTGGGGCATTTTAACCTTTCCCAAGTAGTTCCTGAGGTGTATGGCACTAATGACAATCTGGGTTAGGATTTGGGTGAAGGCTTTGGATGCAGATAAGCAATAGTACTTTTACAGAAACTGGAAGGAAAACAATAGAAGTTAAAGAGAAAACATCAGAAGAGCCCGTGTTTGTTTTCTAGTAGATTCTCACAACAATCTAGTAGATTCTATTAATACTGAACAGGGAATATTAGATATTCTCAGTTTTTTTTTATTTGCATGGCTATGACATGTTGCATCTTCAGAGTGACAGCAGGCAACAATATTCTATCTTTGTACCTCAGAATGCTCCAGAAAGATAGGTTGGGATTTGAGGGTTGAATTCAAAATTTCTCATTAGTGCCTTGCTAGTAGAACTTAGGAGAGGATTCAAAAATTGTTCTGAACTCACTGTTTACTCTGCTTTTAGGGGAGCTTGCTGGAAGTCTCTTCTACTTCTTATCAGAGGTGAATTCCCTCTAAGAAAGTGTCTACTCATCAGCCTGTATGTCTAGTGCTCACACAAATTCATTTCCCTACATGGTATGGCCCAGATGCTTCACTGGGGAGAAGGGGGAGGAATGGGGTGTAGGGTGCATGTGTATGTGCGTGTGTGTGTGTGTGTGTGTGTGTGGTATTTAGAGGAATGAAATAGCTGTTTGTTTTCTTTTGTTTGTACAGAATTAACTCAGTGACCTCCCTACCCCTGCTCTCTCAAGACCTGCCTGCTTTGGCACAGAATATTTGAATACTTTAGGGCAGGGTTACACATTGACTGTCCCTAGAGCTCCCCTAATCCTACAGGCTTTTTCCATGTAGTCAGTCTTGCTTCCCCACCCACCTCAACTGACTACCAGTGTCACAGTTCCATCCCACAATTCAGTGGAATTATCAAAGAATGACCCTTGCTCACTATCATACTTAGGCATATCCTTGAGGTCCTTGACACAGGGAGTTATAGGTAGGTATAGCTGGAATATTGTTCCTCTATTTTAATTGAAAAAATGGGAATCTGAAGTAGATGAAGAGAAAGCGGACAAGCTGTTCCCATTCCCTCCTATATGCTATTTCAAAAATTAAGATTAATTTATTTTACAAATTATTAATTTAATAAATACTTACTCATGTGCAAAGTCCTATGCTAGTTTCCAATGATTTTCATGATCGTTTTCTGCCTGGCAATATTTAGTACATATTTTCAAAACTTTGACTACTTAGATCATTTAAAAATATATTTGGGCTACAGTTTCCTTCAATTCAATCTGGATTCTTAATTACCATGTCCTTTCAAACTGAGAAAGGATCTGATCTCCACACTCTATGATCTCAGGTAAGCTAATTTTAAATAGTATATTTCTCACCAAATTTGGAGTTTTGTCTTCTTCCTCTTCAGAATATCCAAGTATGCAGGAAATGAATCTTAAGTGAGACAGATTTATGAGCTATCACAGGGAAAATGATATCTTGTATCTTATGAAATTGATATGCTGAGGTTTGGTGTGGTTTTTTGATTTAGAGACGAGTCACTATTTGAGTTTTGGATTAGCCTGTGTTTTCCTTTTTTCTTCTACCATAGTCAACTCATGAATCAATACTCCTGGCCAACAACCAGGAATGGGAAATACCACCAATTATAACCACAGTGCTGAAGAATTTCATGCTTAACAATGTAACTTTAATCTCATTTTAAAATCTCAGTGTGGATTTTAAATAATTTCTAAACATGAAGTATACTGTACTCTATTGTAAAGTAAAATTACAGGAATGGCCTCTGTAAATTTTGACACTAGGACTAAATATTTCAAAAGCCAACAGATCTAAAATCTCAAATTATAAATAGTTTGAATTACTAATAGTGAGTTCTAAAATCTCAAATTATAAATAGTTTGAATTACTAATAGTGAGTAAATCAGAGGTAGTTCCTGGGAGCTTCTACTACTGTTTGTTTTGTCAGATGTTAGCATAGATACTTTAGCCTTTTTTTTTTTTAAGCTTTATTTACTCATGTATACAGAACTGGGGTACAAGCCAGAGGTGCAGGGTCAGTGAGAGGCTTCACCACAGACTGAGTGGGGAGCAGAACAGGGAGATCTATAAAGTACACTCTGAGAGGAGCAGTAGGAGTGTCAGAAGAGGTCTGCTGAGCCATGTGGTCACCTGGGGTGGGGGTGAGGGAGGATAGAACTCATACTGAAGTGGCTGAGGCTAGCTTGCAGTGCTGAGTCCTGGTCCCAACCATCCTAGTCCTAACCCACTGCGCCACCAGGGAAGGCCTATTTTAGCCTTTTAAGCAACTTTCATGAGTACCCTTGTCCCAGTTTCAGTTCTGGAGGGTAGCCTACCCCTTGAAGTCACTTGGGGGCATTAGATCTTGACTGCTATCAACACTATAGACTTGATTCATTTGTATTTAACACATGTAGTAGTTACAGCAAACTTTAATATAAGGTGGGGTTATTATAATAGCATAATAGGCTGTCTTTTCACCTAAGCAATCTTAATATTCCAATATTAAAGACAGAAAAATTAATGAAACTATGTAACATGCCACAAACAGGAGTGACTTTGTATTCTGAAAGATCATTTGTTCTCATCTTTATTAGTATGTTATATTAAAACTGGATTTCCCAATTTTTCCTTCTGTCATGTAACTTGCCACTGATAACCACCTTTGCTGACAGCCATGAGCAATAAAGGGAGTGGAGACTCAGAATGATTCAGCTTTGATGACCTGAGATATTTCAAGTTTGTTCCTGTTTCTTTTCTTTATTGCTTGTTGGGATTTTTTTTCCCCCAACATGAATTACCTTAATTTCTAAGCTATGTAACTTTTTACCTTAAAACCATCTAAGGCAGAGCTGAGAGTGGAAAAACTATAAATAACACAGATAGTCTACAAGAAAAAACTGTTAAATTATATTAATATACCTATAATCGTGTTTTCTAATACCTGAAACAGAAAACCTGACTAAATAGGAGTTTAAATAACATGGGATCTATTTTCTTACAGAAAAAGGAGTCTCAAAGTTGGGTATTGGATTGAATAATCAATTGGGATGAGATCATCCTTAATCCAGTACTTTTTACTATTCTCTTCTTCCATCTTTTTAATGTGTAAACCGCATCTGTTCATGTCTCAAGATGGCTATAACCACTCCAACCATCAGCACCAGTGCTTCCTTCTTATGTACATTCCATCAGCAGAAAAAGAGTTTATCTCTTCCTTGCATCACAGTTGAGGGACTTAGAATCGCTCCCATAAGTCCAATGTGCAGACTTGTCCTCTTAGCTTATTGGCCAGAATTAGGTCATGTGTTCCGTTCTCAGCCAACCACTGACAAGGCGACTAGAAATAGACCGTGAAATTCGCCTTCTGTGCATGGAACTGAAGCCAGCCTTCCCCGAAACCTCAGAATTATCTGGAAAAAACTGAGTTCTGTTAGCAAAGGAGGAAAGAGAACTAACTATTGTGAATATTAAACAAATGTTAAAAATGAAATAACTTTTTATTAGTACATGCTTATGTTATAAAAGCAGGATATTAAATTACATATGCTGTACTATTCAAACAAAAAAGTTCTCAAAACCAAGCAGAAATAAAAACTAGCAGAAGATAATACCTAAATGTTAATAGCAGCTATTCTGACTTAACAATCTAAGTGTATACTTCCCTTCTCCTTTTCTTGTTTTTAACTCGTTCAAATGAGCATGTGTTACTTATATAAAGGAAAATGGGTATTAAACATTATTTTTAGAATTCAAGACAAAACCTAAGTTTCCTCAATCTTTTCATCTTGCTTTATTGCTTCTGACCAGTCTTTGTGTTTTTTTCATATATATATATCCTTAAATCAGTGGGTGAATTGGCATTTCTGCTGAAAAAAGTTCACCAGACTCAGCACTCAGCATTTTAAACAAACAGTTCAGGTAGTTGTTATGTGCATTGGAGACTGAGAACTTCTAAGTTAGCCTTTGACACCATCATTCCCTTTATCTTATCCATCAGGCATTTACTGTGTGCCTACCGTAATAAACATAAAACAAATCTCAACCCACTTTTCTTTACTTATTTACCCATTGTCCTTGAAGTTGTCAGATTTTCCCCTAACTTGGATCTTACTGCTCTTCTATGATCT